CAAAAGTAGGAAGAAATCAGCTGAAAGGTGAACGGTAGTTTCAAAAGTTGATTTTTAGGAGCATTTTGACAGGTTTCATGCCATTTTCTTATCAGTAGGAAGGTTTTTTTTTAAGTAATGTTGTTTCGTTGTTAAGTTGTGTCTGACTAGTCATTATTGGTGTATTTGTTTAAAGTCAATAGCAAGTTCAGGTGCTGGGGCAAAAGTAGGAAGAAATCAGCTGAAAGGTGAACGGTAGTTTCAAAAGTTGATTTTTAGGAGCATTTTGACAGGTTTCATGCCATTTTCTTATCAGTAGGAAGGTTTTTTTTTAAGTAATGTTGTTTCGTTGTTAAGTTGTGTCTGACTCTTCATGACCAGGAAGAAATGAGCTGAAAGGTGAACTGTAGTTTCAAAAGTTGATTTTTAGGAACATTTTGACAGGTTTTATGCCATTTTCTTATCAGTTGGAAGTTTTTTTTTTTAAAGTAATGTTGTTTCGTTGTTAAATTGTGTCCGACTCTTCGTGACTCCATGGACCAGAGCACGCCAGGCCCTCCTGTCTTCCACTGACTCCCAGAGTTTGGTCAAATTCATGTTGGTAGCTTCAATGACACTGTCCAACCATCTTGTCCTCTGTTGTCCCCTTCTCCTCTTGCCGTCACACTTTCCCAACATTAGGGTCTTTTCCAGAGAGTCTTCTCTTCTCATGAGATGGCCAAAGTATTGGAGCCTCAGCTTCAGGATCTGTCCTTCCAGTGAGTGTATTAAGTAATATACAGCATAGCAATTAATACAATGACTTGGTCTTCATAATATAACAGGTTGTCACATGTTATATTATTGGGTTGTTCTCCAACCACTGTTACAAATAACAAGAATAAAATATTGTAGAGCAATCATATTTCTCCTCTTTATTATTAAAATGGCTAAAAACTGAGACAGGTTCACTGGTTTCTGAAAACAGCATGTTTTTCATTAATTGGGTAAAAAAAAGGCTCTCAAATTGTTTTCATTAAAAACAACAAAGATAAGAAGGCCATTTATCAGAAGCTTTTCTTTACCTGAGAAAGATGCCTTCATGAAACACAAGATTTCCATACAACTCTGGAGAAAACCCCATGAAAATGGTAGAGGACCCCCATAGAATAAAAATCACTTTGTTCTTTGATCATACACCTTTGTGAGTCAGTGCAGACAATGGCTGTGAATTAAATGTTTCTCAAAAAAAAATCTAATATTGGTTCTTTTTGGTTCTCAAGTATTCTTCCCCCTCTCCTGAGTTTACTGTATTAGGGTTGAGGTAATAACTTCTGATTGTTTGGCAACCTGTAGAGCTTCAGTCATCTGCCACCAAGTTAGTATTTAATTAGAAACCCAGCAAGCCTATGCCAGACAGTCTGTAGGCTGCCCATAATTATAAAATGCTGTGTTTGAGTAATCTGCCATGCTGAATTTAAGACCTATAATGAAGGTACATATTACTCTGTGATTAATTAGAAATAAACAGCCACAAATCCTTTGGTTAGTTTAGTTGTTTGTAAATATTTTTTAAAAACCCTATGTGCAAGAAAATAAATAGCTAAATAGATGAATAATTCCATTTTTATTTTCAAACTCTCTTTTTATTTTTAACACTTTCTATTATATGGTCAAACTGGAGAATTTGCAGAGGAGAAGTTGAGGCACAAACGGGACTCCTGTGGTATCTTAAAGATGACCGCACTTTACCTGGCATAAGCTTGTGGACTGCATGCCACTTTGGAATTGAGGTTTTGTTTTCATGCCTGTATGAAGATGGGAGGAATTTTAAGGAAAGAGGCAACAGCTGAGAGGAGGAGAATCTGTGTATAATTTCTGCTGCTACTTTTAAACCTCCCTTACCTGTGTGCGGCAATTGTGATTCAACAAATTCCACTAGGAGATTGATATGTCACTGTTTTCTGGACCGAGTTTAATGGGCTAGTCCTTGACTTTATCTCCTTGGTTAACTTAAGGACTGTTTTTTTTCTGCTGTAGTCCTGTCACTTTTTAAAATCTGCCCTAAAGGCCCTGTTAATGTGCTTTTTCTACAGTCTCTGTGGTAAGTGAGCATAAAAGACACCTTTTTAATGGTAGTTCTCTGGCAACAGCTTAAGAATGTCATGCATTTCAGCTGGTCCCCTCATCCATGTCTGTTAGACAAAAGTTTAACATGTGTTTTATGTTAAATTTTGGCAGACTTTTAAATATGTGACTTCTGTCGCTCTTCTTAGTATTCCTCCATATGGGGCCTCTGTTTTTCAAAATGTACCTGACTAAATTCAATTTTTAACTGCTATCCTGATTACACAAATTTTTCTCAGTAAAAAATACAAAAGCAAAGTGTGGTGTTTATATATTGTCCCATAGCACTTAAAGCACTGTCTGGGCAGTTTGCAGTTTAATTATGCTGGCTACACATTGCTCCCCCCATCCCATGAGCTGAGTAGCCAGTTTACTGCCTCAGCAGGATGGAAGGCTGAATCAACCTTGAGCTGGATACCTGAGCCCTTTGGGATCAAACTCAGGTTGTGAGCAAAGTTTTGAAGAGACAAAGAGCACTGATATTTTCTCTTCCTATTGCTTAGTCCTGAGGATTTCTTTTTGTGTTTTTTCCACCCCTTTTGCTAAATATCCTAATATAACCCTTGGAGCCACCTGGTGCAGTGGTTAAACTGCAGTCAAAAGCTGTTCATGACCTGAGTTTAACCCTGTGGATTCAGGTAGCTGGCTCAAGGTTGAATCAACCTTTCATCCATCTGAGGTTGGTAAGCACACTTTGCTTTTGCTCTGCTTTATGTTACAACATTTCTTCAGGCTTCAAAAAGCAGGGAGTCCAATCTTACTTACGTTTTGCATCTTTCTGGATGTGGATTTCAGTATGCCATAAATGCAGAAACTTGTAGGACAGCCACCCCCACCAAAAAAACACTGTGTGTGGTATAAATGGGCTTATCTGAAAGAGAATTTAATTTAATGTTGTAAATTGACTCCTATTTTAGATTGTATGTTGATAACCTGTTTTGTTTTTCAATTTTCTTCTTCACAATTGTATTTTATTTTCAATGATGGCAACCTCTCTTGAGTGCTGCACAATGAAAACCTGGACTATACATCTATTAAATATTGCTAATAATAAATTCTTGACTTGAAAGGGCCATTCATACATTAAATTTACAGGTTAGACACTGAACATTCTCTGTGGATCAATAAAACTGCTGTATGTGCCTGTATTAAATGTGTTTCCAGCCGCTTGCATCATTGATGTCAGGTCACCAGGGAGTCAGGTCTGCCTATGACTTACCACATAACAGCAAATAATAAACCTTATAGAAAAGTGTTAACATAAGGGAAGTAAGTGACTTTGAAGAACTGTTTTGAAACTAGATAAGAATGACCGGTAGTTATTTGAAACCTTTGGCAAAAGATAGGCTACAGATTTATACAAAGAAGTGTAAAAAGAGACACTATAACTCAGTGAGCAGGCCTAAGCTTCAGTCTTAGAGATCTGGATTCAGGTCCTAACATACTGTAAGTGATATTGCTCAGCCTCAGTTCTTCCATCTGAGAAACTAGACAAATGCTCGTGGGAAGGTCTTTAAATAGCAGCAACAATAAGAAGAATTGTTAAGCACTTTGCAAAAATTAGAAGTACGGGACCTAGTATCCTGCAGGGTCACAGGACTTTCTGGTTAACAGGGATGACTGTTTCATCTGCCACCAGTTTTCACATGGCCATCATGACGATGGGGAGGACTGCCTGCATGTCCACACCTGCACTATTTGCTGCTGTTTCAAGGGTTAGGACTTCTAACAACACCCCTTGCATTACTGTGGAAGAAATGATCAGCAGTATCTCTGTCCCCAGCCTCCTTAAATTTCTCCAGAGAAACACATCTCTTTTACTTCACCTTGAAGCCTCTTTAGCCTAGGGTAAATCAGCACCCGTTTTTCCATCCCCACCCCTAGCAAGGGTGAGGCAGCTACTTCAGGCTTTCTGGTTAACAGGGATGACTGTTTCATCTGCCACCAGTTTTCACATGGCCATCATGACAATGGGGAGGACTGCCTGCATGTCCACACCTGCACTATTTGCTGCTGTTTCAAGGGTTAGGACTTCTAACAACACCCCTTGCATTACTGTGGAAGAAATGATCAGCAGTATCTCTGTCCCCAGCCTCCTTAAATTTCTCCAGGGAAACACCTCTTTTACTTCACCTTGAAGCCTCTTTAGCCTAGGGTAAATCAGCACCCGTTTTTCCATCCCCACCCCTAGCAAGGGTGAGGCAGCTACTTCAGGCAGCAGATTCTGGATGTTATCATCATCATCATCATCTTCATCTTCGAGCTGCATTGCTGGAAGGGACAATAGGAGTTGTCATTGTCTTTTCCCACCAGGGATAGAGAGAAGCGCCTTTGGGACTTTCAGACCGTTCCCATCGGCAGAGTGAGGCAGCCCCTTCAGAGGGCAGGGTCAGAGTATCAAGACAAGAGTCCAAACAGTTAGTTACTTATTTATTGTTATTGCATTTTTATTGCGAAGAAGATGGAGAGGTGAGCTTGAGGGATTTTAAGCCCTCAGAGACTCTGGAAGCGATGCAGCATGACTTTGGGGCGGCGGAAGGGGGGGAGAAAGGCTTCGCCCTTTCGTTGTCCCACCTCGGGCAGCGAAATCCCTTGGGCCTCTCTCTTCACACCTTCCCTTCGCCCCTTCCCGCCCTTTGACTCTTTCGGGAGGGGCTGCTTAACCCCCCCTCATATCCCCTCCCGCTACGTCCGAAAGAGGCTTAGGGTGGTCGCTATAGCGACTGCCAATCAGGAGCCGGAGGGCGGGGGCTTTTTAGGGAAAGGACTTCGCCACGCCCACGTCATGCAGGAGAAGCCGGGCGGGCGGGCGAGCGATCGGGTGGCGAG